AATTAATATTTTCTACCTCCCAGAATATTTGCAATGTTTCTTCAATTTTTTCATTTTGCATAAGCAGACCACAGTATTGTGATTCAAGTGGTGAATTATATACAATACCACTAACTACGAATCCAAAAACCGTTTCCTGGAACAATAAGTCTGTTGTCGCACTGCAAACCTGACCCGATTTTAATAAGTCAAAGAAACATTCTGCACCCAATAATAAATCAATTTCCTCCGGTATGTTAAATCTGTAATCAGCTAAGGAAATATCCGTGGGGATGTCAATATTTTCAATAGGTATGGGGGTGAGTCATTTCTGTAATTTTTGGAACAATTAGAAAATCAAGTTCTCTAGAGAATGTTTTTTCCTTATTGGCAATTGAAGTCCTCAATTTATAATTTAAAGTAATATCAATTCCATTTAATCCTGAAATCAGAGCAAAACCTTTGTTTTTTTAATCCCTGATTGTTTTGCAAAATGATCAAACACGCAGTTAATCTGTGAGCAGCTGTCAAGAAGATCCTTTCCTTTGATGAATGCCCCTTTCGAAGATTTCATCATAACAATCGCAGATGGCAAGATAACACTTTTATTCGTAGCTAATAAACAATTTGAAAGACTCTCATTTCCCATTAGGCACCGGAGGAATATCCTTCCCGCCAGCTGTCTTCTGCTTTATCGTCTGTGGATGTTTATTTTAAACAGAATCCGAATTCGATATCCTTATGAACCAATGTATGGTGTTTTGAATGGCAGATATTGCAGAAATGATTCAATCGGCATTGCGATGCAGTGTGCTTTTTACCCAAACAGTTCAGACATAAGTTATTTCGTTTTACTAGCGTAAATCTTTCACCAAAATTCATATCAAGGAATTTACTACATTTAAAAAGGGAATGTGGCGAATTACATATAACGCAGTTTCTTTCCGAATTATTTGAATGAACAAGAAGGTTTTTTGTTTTTATTTCATTCATTTGTTTTGATTTGATTGTGTTTTTATGGACACTTTCTAAAGTTTGACTTTTTTTTTTTCTATGAATGTCATCAAGTTATCAAAATTAGGAACATCTGAAGCGTTTACCGATAATTCGAATTGTTTTCGAGTTTCCTTGTCTATTTTGTCTAAAATGACAGTGGTAATTAAAATATCAGAGAATTTGTTTCGTTTGAAACCCAAATTATTTAAAGCTTTAATGTTTTAATGTTATAAGCTTATCCATGTTCAGCTGCACTCATTACTAACCTCAAGCTGCAAACTGCAAATATAAAAAAAATTTTTTAAAAAGAGACAGAGTCCAGGCCAGCTAGATGTCCAGACTTAAACCCTATAGAGAATGCACTTGGCAGATACATTGCTGAATAGAAACTGCCATCGACAGCTCTTTATAAAAATGATAAACATTTCTCAAAGCAATGAGGTTTTTGAAGTGTTATAAATGTACATTGTGCTCGACTGTATCTCTATGAAGTCATCCTGCTCTATATTATGTGTGCTTTTTTCATCTGCAAAAATTTCTGCTATTCTATATTTTTTGTTTTTCTAATGTATGAAATATTTTGTATGTTATTTGTACAAAATATGCACATTTTCATAAAATTTGTTCCATCGTACTTCTTCATTTTACAGCTGTATGTGGTTCGAGTTCATAGCTTATCCATATTTTACAGTATTTTTATTTAATTTTGAGCATCAATGTTTATTGGTGTATGTAATTCATATGCTATTAAGAGTATAACGTTCAAAGTTGGATTGCTATACTTTCTGTGTTGTTTTATTCATATGTATTCTAGATTCTGTATTGATGTAGATTTTGCTACTGCGATATGCTTAAGTATGAAAGCTTATTGAACTAAACTATTAACTATGGAATTTTGTTTTACATTGTCAAATAGTTTCAGCCATATAGAGTCTCAGTAGTTAAGCCTAGAAGTTACTGAATTTCAATTGTTTTGTGTTGTTTAATTTTTTTTTAAAAGGGGGGAGGGAAAATTTTTAGAAACAAAGTAAATTAGATAATTTAGCATATTTTGTGTTTTGCATATCAGTTGATAATCTTGTTTAGCCAATAAGCACGTTGAAGAGAATGAAATTTTCAAATCACAAATTTGTTCCTCCCAGCTGGTTTGTTGAAAAATTAGAATTTGTTTTGTATGTCATAAGATTTTTTTTCTTTTTTCCCTTAAAAAGAAAACTGAAAACATGAGAAAGTGAATCACCAAATTAATGCAGTAAAAGGTATTTAACATCTCTATGTATACTCATGAATGATACAGTATTTTTCTTACTTTTTCTAATTCGAAAGATGTTGGTGTGAATTTATAAAAAATATAAGATCTAGATTCATTTCTAAATTTTTCTCTCAGGTAAAATGTAGATAAATATATATATATATATATATGCAAGTAAATTTTTAAGGGAAAAAGTACACTATTTTTGACTAAAGAAGCAAATTTATTTTGTTAATGAACTTGTTTAACATTTTCTGCATCAATGTCAGAACTCTCTTTTTATAGTAAACTAGTTCTAGATATTATAAATTGTAATTAAAATAATTTGTGCAAAGGTGTCTGCTAATTTAAACTGAATTACCCAGGGCAGGTGGCGAGGACGCCCCTTTGCTTACTGCCCCACGGGGTTTCCCCCTTCTACTTGCTTAATTGCTTAAAGTAAACTGCAATGAAGGAAACCACTGGAGGTACATTTCTTAAGAGCCCACCACTAGCTTAATCAATAAAGGTGATTTAAATAATGAAATGTTAATTTACATGCCAAAGATCTCTTTGTACACAATATTTTTTGTGTAGATCTTTCCATCATTTTTAAGCTCGCCTTGCAGAGGACCATCCATTATTTTTAATTTTAGTTCGTTCTTTCACGAACTCTTGAACAGGCAACATAAAGTTGACCATGTCCAAATGCAGGCTCAGGTAAAAAAATGCCAACACGCTTAAGCATTTGGCCCTGAGACTTATGGATGGTTTGCATTGCAAATAATCCATAATAATTGCAAATAATCATAATATCCCATAATGCAAACCATCCATAAGGATGGTTTGCATTGCAAACCATCCTTATGGATGGATGCAAAGGCAAGTTTTACAGGAAATTGTCTATGTCTCAATTGAAACGGAAACCCTGTGCCGTGGCAACTTCACCCCATTGGCTAGTACAGTTACGCAAGCAACAATAAACTATCGGCGACAAACAGACACTTAAGCCGCATATGAGGTGATATATATATGAGGTGAAGTAACATCATCGTTCTGAAACGGCTGGCTCCCGGGCTTAGCAAAGCACACCGTTGGATTCCGCAGGTCCGTAGTACGCCATTTTGACCATTCGCGTCTTCTTGGGACTTTAATTAGCCGAGATATTAATTAAAAACTAGTTTTCCCTACATTTTCCACTTTCTTTCTTGGGTTTTCCCTGTTAGAGGGATTTGGCTAAGTGCCAAATTCTTTTTTCTCGAATATCTACACAACGGCGGTGAGTTGAAATTCGAGACGCGTATCCTCGGATTCCAAAAAATTCTCCGAATCCAGCGATACCGTTCTCATCTTCGAACGACTTTAATCGGCCGAGATATTAATTAAAAACTGTGAAAACGTTCATTTCCATGCTCATTTTTCCGAGTGGCAACAATAAACTATCTTCGACACATACTTTAGCCGCTTATATATGTTACCGTGAAAGACCGAAATTGGAGAATGTCAACATTCACCAAATACGTCGGTGAAAGATCAAATATTTCTTTACATTCTTGTACATTCGGACCCTCACCGGTGTGTGTTGACAATCACAGATATGCTCTGGTGTAGGTCGAAAAGAGAGGAGTATATGTACATGCTGCCATTCCAAAAGGAAGTGTTCCACAAATAAATGTAGTTGTAAAAGCAAGGGCCTCTTGTGCAATTCAAAGTGTCATAATAGTTTAAGTTGTTGCAATAAAAATGATTTGAATCACATAACTTGGTAAGTTTATAACTTCTATTATTTTCCTTTCTCATTTTGTATGTACTGTGTGTTTTAAGCTCTTATTCTAAGTCTCAAGTGCGTTTTTTCACAAATGAATTACGGAGAAGGAAATATAATATTCTTATATGTTCAACATTCACCATTAGTACATGGTGAATGTCGGCATTCACCGGTGTAAGTCAAAAATAAGAGTATTTGGAAAATATTTCGGACATACACCAAGCGACTATGTGAATGTTGACATTCATCGGTGAAAGTCGACATTCTCCAGATTTAGTGTTTCACCGTAACATATATATATATAAAGACAAGATCTTGAATTCTCTTTTAAATAAATCCATACTTTGGGATATATATTACACTGTTTTTTTTTAATTAATTTTAAATTATATGGTTTAACATGTGTATACATTTTTTTTTATCTACAACTTTCCAGATGCTGAATTCCAACTTAAATGCTACTTGTAAGTAGTCTGTATGTATTTCATGCATCAAGCATGCTTGTTTGCACTGGCAGTGTGCCGGCATAGATTCTTAAAAAAAGAAAAGTACTTCTTTACTATCTTAAAACATTTCCAAACATTTATCCCTTTTTTATGTTTAATGATTAGTATTATTTTCTTTATATATAATTAATAGTATTTAGAAAATTGACAGGTTTGCATTCAGTAAATCTTGATTAAACCATTCATAAGTTATGAGTATATTTTGATTAGTTATTTCAATGCAAGCAATTCAAATTCAATTCAAAAATTAAAAAGGAGGGAAAGGTAAGCAAAACTGAGAAAGTTGTAACATAGTCTGCAAAATTTATGACCGATATATTCTGAAAATTCGGCCCAATCCTTGGTCTTAGGGAGTGCAGATTGTTGGAATTCTATTTTACTTCAGTATTACCATGTAATAAACAGTTTTAAGTACAGAAATGTGTGGTATATATATATTCCTAAATTATTATGTAAACTGAACTTTTAATGTACTCTTTTTAATTCATTGGAAGTATAAAATATTAAAATATTTTAACAGCCATTTGGCCATAATCAGTCTCAAGCTACAATCCTAGAAGAAAATACTATTTTAAAAGCAAAAGAGGTTGAATTTCCTCCAAAGCCAGTTGTCAGTAATGAAGCTAAGGTATATTTCTATTTTAACATGTTTTATGTTATTTTGGAATATTTATTTATTGCTACTTACTTATGTTATATAGTTTTATTGACTTTAATGGATTATTATGCGTATATTTTACAGTGTGTGTTGTTATGCAAATTAAATGTTTGTAAAGCGTAGTGTTAAAAATATGTCTTAGTAAACTGAAATTACTCTAAAGAGTATCCAAACTAGAAAATATCTATATATCCATAAATCTGTAATTAATAATTAATTCTTTTAGTCTCGTTATTGGCCACATGGCCCACAGGCTGTGCTCAATTAATTTAACACGAGTTATTTTTTTTTTTTTTTTTTTTTTTTTTTTTTTTTTTTTATATTTGCTTCCAGAATCTCATGTTTATTTGAGAATCAATTTTTATATATTAATGTCAAATAATGTTCCACTGCTTTGCATAACAACTTTTGCAAATAGCTTTTGATCAGTTTATTGCAATAGTAAAGAACTTCAGAAAATATAGTAGTGCTATTCAGTAAAGTATAGTTAGTAAAAACCATTTTTACTTCCTTGTACGAAGTAAAAAGGAAGTATTGTAATTGCAAAAAGTTGCAGGCAGCATATTTCAATGAAAATATCCATTTTGACCGCTTTCGAATGCAATTTAACTATGTTTTTGCGAGATATCCGTACGTAAGGACAGAATAAAGGACTCTTTTCCTCCAAAAAAATTATAAAACTGCTTTAAAATGAATTCTGAAGAGAATTTTTCGTAGCGTCTGTATGTATGTACGTATCTCGCGTAACTCAAAAACGAGTAGCCTCAGAAAGTTGAAATTTTGTATATAGGACTACTATAACATGTAGATGTGCACCTCGTATTTTGGTTGCCATCGGCCGCGCCAAACATATATAAATATATTTATATATATATCCACTCTGTTACCCGGCTCAGTGATCTCAGTTTCTTTACTCTTGTACGTTTATAAATTGTACATTTTTTTGCTTTAAAAATGATTGAATTAAGTTGTTCTTGTCTTCCGGTTAAGGTTTATATGCCGTTAGTAAATCTGTATGCAATATTTTTAGAGTTATCAACAATTTTAAAGCTGTTTAAGTGCCACTAAGCCTAATAATTTTTTTGATGGCGCCCATTGCTTGTTTACATTTGAAGCAGCAGAGTAATGGATTTGTTGCCAATCTAGAGAAACGTATCTTCGCAACAACAAAGATAACGCCTTCATTTATTATTGCGAATTAAATCATGCTTAATCCTTTCTGGAATTTTTTCAAGGAAATAAGTTACTTAATTTTTAATATAGATATTTTGAGCTTTCATGTATTTGTGCCTTGTCGCGAAGTGAGAACTGAATTAATTGAATGAGAAATACTCAATCGTGTGTGAAAAACTGTTTCTTTTTAATTTTGTTTGCTTAATTTCGTTTATACATTGTTCTAGCTTTATTATAGTATTTGAAAATAACATGTGGCAACTTAATTTACCTTTACTGTTAGTTTCATTACTTTTCCTTTGGTCTTGTGGTTTAGGGGAGCGTTTAGTGCCTGACGAGCTAGGGAAGTTGCACTTACCTCGTAATTCCTCGGCTTGAACTTTCAGCTTTTGTAGTAGTCTAATCATCAGGGTGGACACGACATCCTCATTAGTAACAGCCCTGTTCGCCTGGTAGATCATAAGTAAGGCTTGAAGCCTTCGATGTTTTTCTCAACTTTTCTAAGTCTTTCACGAGCGCTGTCCATTTCATAGTCCAAATTTTCATCATCCGATGGTAATCTAATATTGTCAGGAGATAATCCAACATAGTTTTCGCATGGTTGATTAGCAGTAATGGCTCAGCTTTTCATCAACATAAGGGTAACTGTCATTGCCGTTAGGCATAGTTGCTTCGGCTGACTCTGTCATATTCAAGACCCCTACATCCACAAGGGATCAGGACCGAATGATGCCATCTGAAATGAATATTGAGATAATTTCACTTCCTCGTGATTTTTTGCACCATTGACAGGTCATAATTTTTAGCAAAAGTGAGTTTTCATAGCTATAATTTTTCATAAATGCAGCATATGCCTGCTTTGATTCAAATTCAGTGCAATAACCATACCATAATGTGTGTGTGTATGTGTGTGATTATGCCAAAGCCTCAAGGCCTAAGGGGAGGGATGCCTTCGTGGAGGACTTTCTAAGGAAAACTGGCTCGTATACATGTTACACGTGGGGGGGAAACCACGAAAACGCCCATGCAGCCAGCCTGTTCGCAGGATTCGAACCTCGGACCAAACTACCAGTGTTCAGCAACTTTACCGCTTGGCCGCTGTTGGGTCTCAATAACCATAATGAATTTTAATAATTTTAGTAGGAAATTATACCACAACAAAATCATTATTTGTCATTGTATGCGGTAAATAGACTGACTACGTCTGGACTTTTTCTTTATCTGAACCAAAATTATAGTCTGGGTTTTATTGAATTATATATATGATATATATCAGTTGTTGATGTTTTTGAGTTTATTCATTTAATTTTTTATCATCTGTTAAAGATCTCCCCCCCCCATCAATATACATAATTTTTCCTCACAACACTTCTTTTAGAATATTAACTTTAACTTTTGGAGAAATAACTTTTATTGTACTACTGCAGGACTTCTTGACAGAAATCTTAAAGCACCTCAGAAACAAATGTCAGTAATTTCAGTCTGCGTCTGCAGTATTTTCATTGTTTTCTTCAAGCATTTATTAAGGAGTTTTTATAAAAGATTTATGCACATAAAAGTAAACTATTTGAGCTGACTAATTCATAATTAAAAGATATTTAAGAAATGCATAATTATTGTTTAAAATTCAAATAACTTCAATGTGCAGAGTATATACATAATAATAGTTTTAAATTGAAATGGGGCATGCACTTATTCACATTTACATTATTTGTATTAGTTCGCATGTGTCCTATCAATCTGTTTAAAATTAATTTTTTTAATAAAATATTTCTTAAAGATGATAAAATTTTCCATAAACTTCTTATTAGTGCCAATATATCTTTCAAGGGTAATTTCAACTTTAACAACTGTTTAGATTTTATTTTTATTCTATGAAACCGGATGCACTTACTAAAACGCTTTACCTGAAAGAATCAATCTGAGCTGTTGGAAACTGAAATGATTGTTTATTCTGAAAGTTTGGCCAAGAGATGATATTAGAACTGCCTTCTGTTGGTAATATGTATTAAAAAAAAAATTGTTTGGGCTAACTGGAAGACATACATGTTATTTACATACGGCCTTTGTTTACATGTACCCCTGTCTCCCTGATTTAGATTTTGTGCCTTGAAAGATATGAATTAATTTTGAAAAAATAATGGGAAACTATGTACATGTTTCTTTACACATTTTATTAGTGAAACTATTAAATATCTTACTTCTTTTAACATATTCATTCACGGACTATAATTTATTTGTGAACTAATCTCAAATATTAGCTTTTTAGAACCTGAAATTTGTTTCAATTCTGTGTATCCATGCAGTTTTCTAGTAATTCTGTAAAAATGCAGAGTAATCTACAGCCATGGGGTTTTGAAGTAAATCGACTGATTCCATAAAATAATGTCTTCTTCTGGTTTTCTGTGAATCATACACAAAGCAAATTATTGGAAGCTTTTACCTCAACTTCATCAAATACTTGTAACTTTTCAAGTGAAAAAATAAGTAATTAAATTGCTATTAAGTATTAAATCCTTCAAAAGCACTTTTGACAATTTTAGTTAAAGAAAAGTCATTTCTTTGAGTATGATTATTTAAACAAGGGATTAAATATGGCACTTAAAATTTAAATATTAAATAGCTAAGATGACTGTGTCTGCATATGTCAGTACTAAAGAATGAGATTATATTTTTGTAAAGAATATAATAATATCAAAGCTAGTATTTTTTAGCAACTGAAGATGGGTCATTTTCAGCTCTTTTTTATCAGTGGACAGAAATAAAATAATGAAAAGGGCCATTAAGTGGCAATTTTCATTATTCATTGCCATTATTATTTTATTATCAGTGTAGTTGAAATTGTTAAAAATGCTACTGAAATGCAAAACAAATGTTTTGATTAAATTTTAGATTGTTTTCATAAAGAACTTTTAAAAAATAAACATATTCATAATTACCAAGGAAGAGGGATCCTGAATTCTTAGAAAAAGAATACTGAATTAGAATACTTGGTCATTAGCCTATGGTAGTAATTCTGTTAATATAATTAAATGAAGTTATTTTATTATTGATTTTTCTGCAGCCAGCATATTCAGTGCAATTCCATAAATCATGTTAAAACTATTTGGTTAATTAATTTAGAATTCTGCTAGATGCTGTTACTTGTGATTTTCAATTACAAATCAGTTTTTTGCACATATACATATATATATTTAGATTGATTGAAATTCATTTCTGAGTTTGAAAGCATTGCACAAAGAAAGGATTTTTTATATATTTATTTCTATTATATATAATGTTCGTGTATTTGTTCTCTTTATACATTTATATATTATTAGGAAATTAATGGCATATATTTATATTTCTTCCCTAGCAATTTATTCGCCGATGTCTTCAATATAGAAAAGAAGATCGTATTGATGTGTTTAGTCTTTCTAGTGAAGACTATTTAAAACCAAATTATCCCAAACACAGTCGACAGTCAAATGCAGAAAAATCATAGCATTGCATTTCTAGTGAGATGATGCATTAAAAATGGACTTCGCTTCTCCCTTAATGTATGCATTTTTCAAGTGTATAATGTAAAAACATTTTTAGACTTTGCCATGGCATATGGAACAAAGTGCAAATTTGATTGCCTGGGCAAATATAGTGTTATGTACAGTAATATAAATATGTTTATGAATACAATCCAGTGTTCCTAGTTTTTTTCACTAATGGACTGCACTGGCCTGGAACTTTTGCAACGTGTACTATTTATATCAAATCTTGGTTGTAGTTAAGGCAAGTGCTTCATGTACATATAAGTTGGACTTCCGAGATGGATTTGTGAATTTTAAAGTGAGATCATTATTACGTAGATGAAATGTGATTACAATAGTGTAAAAATATATGTAGCTTCATTTATTTCTTCAAAAATAAGTAATATACTAATTGAGGTAAAATTTTCTTGAGATTGCCATATTAAAAAACTACAGGTCATTTCTTAATTTTTGTACATATGTTGTTTTAAAAGCCAAAAAACTTTTTTTAGCTGCTGTCTTAACAATGGGCTGTAACTCTGTAAATATTTAAACTGCAATTTTCATTTGTGGCTAGGCAAAACTCTACATATCTCTTTGTTATGTAAAGAAACTGAAAATTTTTGTTATTAAAGGAAGTAGAAATTGTGTTCTTTGCATTGTTTTTTTTTTTTTTTAATTACCTTCATAATGCTTGTGATTAGATAACAAAAACTAATTTCTTTCCCTTTATATATGTATTATACAAGAGGCTGTATGACAGTTGTAAAATTTAAAAAAAAAAAAAAAATAGCTATTATTACCTTAATTTTAATGGAATCTGTCTTCTAAACTTTCAAAGAAGAATTTTGAACGTTCTGAACAAATGTCTTTTATATGATATTTTCATACTCAAATGGTTACAGTATAATAAAGCAAAATAATAAGGTGGTTTCATAAACAATAATAAAAATTACTTTTATTATCAAATTATATTAAGCTAATAAATGTTGAATTAATTTGATATGAAATTTGGTACATATATTATATAATATATAATTATTTATAGTTTTAAATCATAAAATCGGATCATGCTTCATATTCTCCCTTCTGATAGTAGTACATTCTTTTCTGTCTCGTGTTTTTCCACCCTTTCACCTTTTTCTTAATTGCATTAGAAAACATCCCCCACCTTCTAACAATTAGAGCATTAGAGATATTGCAATAGAGAATGAAATGAATTTGATCAGATTATGAAAAATGGAAATCTTATGTGGAGATTATCTATTTTTTACAGAAAATTATTATATCTCTATGTTTTGTTTATCTGATTTTTTGTTCCAGTAATATTTTGTTGATTCAGTTTATTTTATTGTACTTTGTTACTTTGATTTTCCCTGTAATTTTACGTAGGGTCCTCCATTTTGTACAAAAGAGGAGCATAATTATTGTCAATAACATTATTAGAGTCATAATGTTAGGCATATTTTTTTATAAAGACATGAACATTCTAGTAATATTTAGATGTGTTTTCCTGTACTTTGTCTTTTTCTTGCTTGAATCTTTTTTAACCCCCCCCCTTTTTTTTTTTTTTTCCCCTAAAGGATTATTGTTTTCATTTTGTGTTAAATCACTATAAATGTTCGTTTCACTTTTCAAACTGTTGCCACCAAACGTTAGAGTCCTGCATTATTTTTTAAAAAATTAACAATGAAAAATCTGCATAAATGTAGGTACATTTCTCGCATTGTGATAAAACAACAGTACCTAGTGCCATGGAATTTTGAATGATGTAATCCTCCTACGAATATGGGCTTGTAGAAGACCAAATTTGAAATTTGGAATTTGTTTTGTTATCGATTCCATATTCGTAAAACTTTAACGAATTTTTGAGTAACAAACTCAATTATTTAAAAGCGAGCAATGGCAACACTCTACCTAAGGGGGAAAACCTTTCTATCTCCAGCGCGCAGAACTGTGTATCGAAAGTTTTAAAGATATGCTCATTTTAAAATTATTTTGCGACATTGCTATTGAACTGAATTTCAGGGTTTAAGTGCAAAGAACATGATATTTAATAAATGAAGGTAACGTACAAAATGTTTTAAAAACGCACCTTTGAACATAATTTAAAATCAATGGGCACCACTTCTGGCCTTAGTAGTGGCCGTTATAGACAAGTGCTTGCCATTGGGAGGGACCATAATTGATTATTCTAATTTCAGATATTTATATATAGGCATCAATTTTTTTAATTTTAAATTCAGAAGAAATAATATATGAATATACATATATATTATTTCTCTAAATTTAAATTTGAAAAAAATTGATCTAAGCCTCTCAAAATAAAATGCAAAGTATTTCCATTTTGATTATTCATGTAGCCAGATGCATGTAAAATGATTAAGAGAATTTTTTTTTTAATTTTTGTGTAATTATTCTTCCCATTATAATTTTCCTTGAATGAACTTCAGGTGTGCATTTCATTTAGAAAAATAACGATGGAGCATTTTAATGTGACAGCATTCTTTTATATAACTTCAGCATTAATCAGATTAAATAAAATTTAAAGTATAGTTTAATTTTTTTTTATTTGTACTTAAATTATAATGCTTTATCTAGGCTAAATAAATAAAAGGATTAGGATAAAGTGTATAACTTAGTATCATACAGCTGATTAAATTGTTGAATTTTGTAGTGAAATATCAGGTAACATTTCTGTTGATTCAAAGCTTTTTAAATGTTCAAAAAGACTCCATTTAAATACTTAACTGTATAAAAAAAAAGCTATAAAAGCAATCATTTTGATAAAAATAGGAAGATTATCAAAGATTGATTGTGTAAATTTAGCATGTTAATAGATTAAATCAAGGAATAGCATTTATGAAATGTAACTATGTGCAGTGATTATTTTTTTATTTTAAACAGCACTGTGAAAGTAAAATTCGTGTAACTGAGTATATATAACAATATTTGAGCCTTTAAATTATCTATCTTGATAAGGAACTCTGAAACATTTTAAATTTTTCCTCCATTAATTCCTTATTTTTATCATTAACCAGAGGGGATTTGTCCTTGTGTAAAATAAACATCAGAATACAATTGCAAGTAAGCTTTTATATGATGTAATTTTAATATTTTAAACATAAAATTCATAAAACTAAAAATAATTTAGTGTTGGATTGCATGAGACTTCTTTTTAATTCACATGTATTATCAATAGTAATTTAAGTGTAATGTAATGATAAGTTATGCGATAAGGAATTTTTATGCTAGAAAATTATGCCAAAATTGTCTGCTTTGTGTTGATTGTTTTTCTTTAAGTAAGCAAGATTCCATTTAGCTTAATTCTGTTACCAAAGATTTAAAGAATGCTTTAGAAGTTTTATTTTGTACAATATTTCAAAAAAATTAGTAATAAATATGTTGCTTAACTGGAAAACTTCATGCATTTTCTTTATCAGTTTTCTTAAATAGAGTTATTAAAATGTGTGTGTTTCTAATCATTATTGATAAATACATAGAATTGTTTGTAGTGTGATAGGTTACTTATTTATGAAAAGGTGTACAGTTGTTTTAAAAATTCCATTTTCAGTTATTATATACATAATTTTATTTGCTAGAAAGTTGGTTAATTTTCCATCCTGATACTGCATTAAACCAGTTTTTAAGCTAAATTTTCTGGTTAATCTTTAAGCATAGAAGGTATATCTAAAGCAACAAATAAAATAAGTAAGTTAAATTTTAAATAATGAAATTTAATGCAAACAAATAAATGATTAATTATTGATGCAAACTAATCTACAATATCATTTAAATTCTGAAAACATGTGTAAATCAAGTGCAAGTATCAAAACCCATGTATAAATATATAATTCCAAAAATTTTTTAATCCTAAAAAAATTATGAAAATGCATAAGTGAATAATTGTTGAGCAGGCCGGAGACAGACTTATCAAGGGAAAGTTGCCTCCAAACCTAACTCTTCAATTATTCAATTCGTGTTTTGTCATCGATGTAGACAAGGGTAAAAGTCAAAACCAAATGTTGTGAATTACTAAAAAGAAATTTAAACAAGTGGATATTTAAGTAATTAGCAAGAAAGCTAGAATTTAAAAAAATATTTAAATTTAATTTAACTTTACTATTTATTCTTTTGAAACAATATGTATATACACCGTGTATCAAAAAGAATATGCGTATTACAAAGTGTTATTGTGTCCAAACTATCGATCACTGCACCTCAGCTCGGCTATTGGCGAAGTGAATACATAGTTTAGTTTACACTAATAGCTGCCAGATGTCAGTTGTCTTCTGTTTTGCATAGTAACCATCACACGTTTAAAATAGCTACACCGCAACAGAAATCATTTTGTGTTCTCGAGTTTGCGAAATGCAAAGATGTTTCAAGTTGAGGTACCAAAGTGATACTCCAAATGGGTGGAACATTTGCTGATGGTATCGACAGTTTGTATGTACAGGATGTGTATGTAAAGGAAAGAATCCTGGCCGCCCTCGTGTTCCCGACGAAAATGTTGCCCGAATTCAAACTCCTTTCCAATGCAGTCCTTCAAAATCAACTCACCGTGCCAGTCGGAAGTTACAAATGCCTACAACAATTTGTTATGTTTTGAAACATGTGTTGGTTATGAAGCCGTACAAGTTACATTTGTGACAGGCTCTGCGTCCTGATGACAAATGCAAACGTGTGGCATTTTGTAACGAGATTATTGATGCTATTGACAATGATAACACTTTCGCAGTTCAGTGATAAAGCGACTTTTCATGTTAGTAGTCATGTAAAAAAACACAATGTTCGAATTTGGGGCCTACAGAATCCACGTGCAGCCATTGAACATGTACAAGATTTGCCCAAAATCAACATCTTTGTGCAATATCCCGATCATCTGTTTATGGCCCATTCTTCTTTGATGGAAACATGGTTAACGGTCAGCAGTATCTGGCTATGTTACAAAACTGGTTGTTTCCGAGGCTGTACGAAGACAACTTAATTTTTCAACAAGACGGGCTCCCCCTTCACTGGTGTCGCCAAGTGCACGATTATCTGGATGAAACTCTACCGAACCGTAAGATTGGTCATCAAGGAGCTGGCGACTTAGCGTGTCTCAGCTGGTTTCCACGGTCACCGGATTTGACACCCTGTGATTTCTTCCTGTGGGTTTTCATTAATGACAACGTTTATATGCCACCACTCCCACAGAACCTGGCAGAGGAAAAGAACCGGATCCGTACTGTCATAACATCAGTGACGACGGACATGCTTGCCCGAGTATGAGAAGAATTTGAGTATTGATGTGATATTGTTTGTGTCGCTGATGGAGACATATTGAACATCTGTAACATGAACTTGAGAGGTTCATGCACACGTGTGTTAAGTTTCATATTCGTATGTCATACAGTTTAATAAATATATGCATTCGAAATATGTATATTCTTTTTGAAACACGCTGTATTTACATCCAGCTCCATACTGGGAGACAGGAACACATCACTGCATACCCCTATGCATTCTAGGTTCTCTACTGGCATAGCATTGTCATTTAATGGTAGAGTCAGGCATGAAAGTTTTCCGTGTTTTCGCGGAATTCCACTTTTTTGAACGTCACTCGGGCTGTTTCTGAGATCAATGCAGAACCGTTGCAAAATCACGA